CTGCCTTGGGAAAACCCACCGGTCCTCCGCTGCGGACCACCACCGCCGCCGCCGCCACCGCCGCCGCCGCCATTACCGTTGGGCCGTGAATTTCCGCCGAAACGGAGAGCGTGCGGATCGCTAACCGACGCGGCCGTCCGCTGCGCACGATCACCGAGATTTTTCTCAACGTGGTGGCTACGCACAAGAATCTCTAAGCTTCTGCGTGTGAGCGTGTGATCATGCATGAGCACGATCTTGACCTGTTCGTAGTCTGCCGAGAGGCTTCTACGTAAAGTCGCAAGGACCTCACTTTCCGGATTTTCATAACCGTTGACAGCGCGAAGCGTATTCAGCACTTTGTTAAACCTCAGAAAGTAGTCTTGCGGGTCCTCGCCGAGCTGCATCTTCATGTTAGCGAGAGACAACTTCAGGGCCTCCTTTTCAGAGCTACTCATCGGAAGACAAAACTCCTGGGCCGCCTCCCATGCCCCCGACACATTCCCTACAACAAGAATTGTCGATTGAAATTTCGCCCCCTTCGTGGCTCGCCTCAAGTATTCGAAAGCACGCTCGTGATCACGCACACGCTTCTCACGGTGGAATCTGATGTTCTCGCTCCTGGATGTGTGTGTGAGCCAGGTGCGCTGGTCAGGACTCGCCGGCGGAGTGAGTGTGTGCCCAAGATCTTCGCCGGCGAGGAAGACCTCGAATATCGTCTTGAAGAGCGGGAAGTTGCCGTCGTACACTGGTGGCTTGCGGTCCCTGTACTGCTGTTGCACTGGACCATCTCGAAAAGAAGTAGCCGCTCCCCCGGCTCCAAAGGTGTCCGCCACCCCGGCTGCTCCACCCCTATAATACCCCGACGCGTACCCAGCGCCATCCACCCTATCTCTCGTAGCGTCCCCCGCTGAACTGCGCTCCCTTTCCTCCTCAAGTTTCCTCCGTAACTCCGCACTCTCGGCTTCCGCTTTCTTCGTTTTTTCTTCCAACAACTCTCTCTCTCTTTCCGTCATCGCTGTACCAACACCTGGCCTAGCTAGGCTCCACGATATCGTGTTAGTGCACTGCCGCCCTCAGCGGTCTGTGGTGTTGAGACTGGGGACTATGTTATCCCAGGAACAACAGCTGATAAAAAAGGACCATGTATCGTATATTTTCGTCACGCAAGCCCCTTCAGGCAAGTGAGCTCGTGGGCTCTTTCTCTCTCCAGCACCAGGGGTCTTCTTAGGGGCAGCCTTTATAGACGCGCGCAGCGCGGCTTAAGTCAGACTGAGAATATCGCGCGTAGCGGGATTAAGCCCGCCGCAGGCGGAAAAATTTTGGATCATCTTAATGCCTATTCCGCGTCTAAGTGTGTGTCTATCCGGCGTCTTAGGAATATAGGATTCGTCTTAACACATGTAAGTTTCGTCTAAGCACGTCCTTATTTCGTCTAAGTGCGTCTATGGCTTGCCTAGATGACGTACGTACATGTATGTATGCATAGTCATCGATGGTTCATTTAAGTAGGTTGAGACCGCTCTCACAACCTGTCCACATGATGAAGGGGTCGACTTTCACGACATGTTGGAGGTGTTCGATAGAGTGTTTGTTGTTCGAGGTGTATTGCACACGACTGTTGTGTACCTACAGGTTGCCTTTTACAGAGTGGCCCGAAGAGTGGTACAGCAGTGTAGTATGCGCAGATGAGCAGGTTCGCAAGGCCTTCCGTGCATGATATCAGCTACCATGGTACCAGGTACATGATATGCGTGTGCACCAATGGTAGTACTGCTGTTGCACGGTACTATTTTCATGCAAGAAATCACGGACAGGTTGTACGGAGACGCATTTCTCTCTTCTAATCGGGCCACCAGACAACAGGGAATACGGAAAATAAGTAGGCCTGTGCTCGGTAGGTGATCATCACCGAAAAGCACCGAATTTTGAAAACTTGACCGAAAAAGTGAGGAATTTGAATCACCGAAAAAATAGTGGCCGATCACCGAAAACGGGAGGCGCCTCACCGTTTTTTTTAGGGGGCTCCGTGTATACAGGCCGTACCCCGCAAATCCCATCAGATACCCCCCTCAAGCGCAGCAGCATAGCAGCAGAGCTAACAGCACACAGCACACAGCGAGCACAAAACCCAAGCACCGCGCTGCAGACACCACACACGGTACACAGTACGGACACACTTACTTGTGGTATACGTAAAAAAAGAACACCAGAGTTCGTTTTAACGTTTTCATGTGGAGTACTTCCTAGACATCGCCGAACATCGCCGAAGAACGTTTTCGGCAGTCTACCCTTCAAATTATCACCGAAAAGCACCGAAAAATCTTTCTTGGCTCTCACCCTTTTCTTATTTTTGTCGCCGATTTTCCCCGAAAAAAAATTCAGTGCACCTAGAATAATCACCGATTTTTTTTTTGGCAATCGGAAAAAATCACCGAAAAAAAGAAAAAAAATCACCTACTACCGAGCACAGGCCTAAAAATAAGGGAAACTTGCGGGCGAGCAACTTGCTCAAGCCTGTTATTCGATCCGGACTCAAAACCTCAACACGACATCCATCGCTCTACGCAAACCGGAAACACGAATCAACCAGCGAATATCCGAGAACATTTATTTACTACACAATTCGTACAAACTGACTGTTGCTGGCGAACACTTGCTCAAGCCTGTTGTTCGATCCGGACTCAAACGTCAACACGACATCCATCCATCGCTCTACTCAAGCCGGAAACACGAATCAACCAGTAAATAATTACTCTTACAATAATCAACAACCAACTGCGGGCGATTTTTGAGTCAACGACGGAAAAGCACATACGACCATGGCGTCGTTGGCCTGGGCCACGACCGACGGTGTTGTCCTGGCTGATAGTTTGTGGAAACGGGTGCGCTGACAGCAGCACGTGCTGGTGCTGGTGGTGCTGGTGCTGGTGCTGGTGGTGCTGGTGGTGCCATTGTGTGTGTGGCGTTGTGGTTGTGACCCGAGGTGGCGGGCGTGTGCGTGCGTGTGTGCGAGGCTAGGGGGGCCGCCAGATTGTGATCAATTTTGAAAATATTCAAGAAGATACCCTTCCGACCCGAAAAATATGAAATCATGGGCCTAAGGGCAGGATAACTGCTGTTCTACGGAGAGGACGTGTCTTGTGTGCGTGTTCATGTCGTGTCACCTCGGAAATAGCTGCTCAGACGCCGTGACTGAAGACCTCCCATCCTCTAAGTCGACTGCAAGACGTGCTAAGCTGTCATACCGAGGCTTAGACGGACCTCTCTGTGGGAAACGGAGTAAGACGAATAGATAGACGCGTCTATCAAGGCTGAGCCTAGGTCTTCTCCTACCCCCAATACACTTCATACCCATTCACGTACCCCCCATCAGGCCATTCACGTACCCCCCATCAGGCGCATACAACGCATGTAGATCGGACACACATCCAAAGTACCACAAACATAGTTTCATGTCGTTAAATGTGCAAAGGGCACCGGAGAACATTCTCTCATCATTGCCTCCTGACGTGGTGGCCGATAGAGGCGTGTGGTTGAGGTTTCATCACCGACATGTGGGTGTGTGTTAAATGCAGTGGGTATGGTTACCTCTCTCGCCCGTCTGTAGGCAGAAGGTATGGCTACCTCGCCCATGTGTAGGCAGAGCGGATCACAAGTAAAGACAGAGTTTATCATTTCATGCATGCTACATCATTTATTTGTATTTGGCATGGGAGGAATGAGAGGTTGTTCTAGCTTGTAAGCAATTTTGACGGGTAGGGGGGGTACTCCCTGTGTCCGTGTTGCTCCCAGATGTTGTCGCATCACTTGGCAGCATGTGTCATGGACAGGTAGACGTGGAAGGGCGGCGACAGGTGAAGGCAGCAGCAGTACGTTGTGCACGGTGGCATGTTGGGCTTGCTTGTACATAAAAATAACGCAGTCCATCTTCGACCACACACAAAGGAGTTTGTTCGTACCTGTGGGGATTGTCGAAGTCCTGGGTGAGCCAAGAGCAGCAGCAAGGAGCAAACAAACGCAGTGCAGTATACTACTACAGCTTTACAGTCCGTCCTCCTCAAGTCCTATCGGAGATGATTAGTATCGCACAACGGCTGGATCCGAAATGCCGGCTAGCTCCGCAATCCAAGAGAGGTGGGTGGCTGAGCTAAAACCGGAATGACTGCATGCGTGCTCCTCTCAGCATATATATGTGGCTGGCTGGCTCGTTGAAGTGCAGATTTCTGGTTCAGCGGAATTGGTCGGCGTTCCCATGTTTTCCGTTGTCACCTGGGTGTATGGGAATTTTTATGAAAGGTGCACAGAAATCGATTATCCTAATTACAAGGGACACGTTTCATTTTCAATGTTCCCCCTTGTGGTTTCGACGGTCAAATATATATGCGGTTACCCACAGATTTTCGCATCGCTATAAGCTATCAGGCTCCTAATGAAGTGTGTGTGTGCAGTTTTGGTAGCGTTAAAAGCAATTTGAACGGGATTTTTACGTCATTAATTACATACAGGCGTTCTTATTTTTCACATAGACATCACGATGTACGAACACAATATAACAACACTTCAGGAATTGCTCAACAAACATGAGGATAAAACATGACGATATTCCTTGTCGGACACCGACGAGGTTTGTGAATATATGCATACGAGTACAAATAGTATTAGCGACAGAGTTAGTACTATCATGGTATCACTGTTCGAAATATTTCATACATACCTAAAATTCATTCCATGTTCGCATCCCTCTCAGGTTCCTGATTATTGAAGGTTCTTCGCTGATTAACAAACAGAAACGAAGACTGAAGACCAGAAGTCAAAGGCGCTTCTGGGGCCACAGTTTCTTCTCGATCTAGGAAAAACTGCCGGATTTTCATCATGGCGAATTTGCGAGCACTGCACACACGTTCGCTCTGGAAGCAAAGGAGGGCTGCCCGTGGCCGTCGCATACAAGCTGCACGATGGCACTCGGCGTTCTTGAGGGCTGCCTTAGTCCGCAAAAAGACCATGCGGTCCAAGGGATTCGTGTTGAACAACATATCGATATCTCAATTCCTGTCGCCACCCATGTCAGCCGTCTTTCAATGGTGCAATGAACAACCGCAAGAATCCACAAGCAACCCCGCGTGCACGTGCAACCAGGGCTTGCCTCCGCCCGACAGAAGAGACATCTGGTCACCACGCACTCCCATTAAGGTACCGCATTCTGTGACAAGCCACAACATCAGCAGTAGTAAGACTGGCGGAATCTCGCCGTCAAGGCCCGGGACTCCGAACGACAAGGAACAGCCAAAGGAGTGCAAGTGCAGACGTACATAGTGTGAGACCTCTCATGAAAGTGAAATGGTCAACCTGCGCCGACAGCTTTTGGGGTCTATTGGTCAACGCCCTACTGCTGAAAGCTAGTCCTGCCTCGGTAAGGAGGATGGGCTGGTCGCCCTCTCGCCTCAGCACACCCCCAGACCTATACATTGACAATCACAAAAAAGGTAATCACACGTTGTAGACCATATCTATCTCTCCCAACCTCTGCGAGGCATGATATTGCCGCAAGAAGAAGACAGCAACATGGATTTCGTTGTCAGCAACAAGGGAGGGCGCTGTTAAACTATCGTCAAATCACACCCGAACAACTCTACATCGGGTCACTCGTACGTAAACGGCTCGAGCTGTCCCCATGGCCGGTCTGGCTTAACGATGCACCAGCTGCCGATAGGTGGCACCGTGAGCTTAAACTTCTTGCGGGCCGGCTGAAACCCTCCTTGACGAGCTGTACCCGCCGGAGGGTCGTTTTCTCCGGCCGGTTCGGGATTAGCGGGGCTGCTCACGAACAGCCTTGGAGTCAGAGCGATCCTCTTCTTGGCGTTGAGGGCGAGGTCACACCCGCCGCTATCGAATGGTCTCCACGTGACCTCGTACGGAACGGCGCTCCTTGGATAAACCTGGCGGAGAGAAAGACGGGCTGCCGTTACGTCATGTGTGAACACTGGATTCAGTTTCACATAATGTGCGCTATTATAGTCGAAATGAAAGGAACACATCGTTGGAGGGAGTTCAAGGATTGTGTGGCGCAGCGATTTTGGCGCATATGCCGCCAGGACACGGAGGGCAATCGGAGATTGAGGTTCCCAAACTCATGAATACGGGAGAAGCTTCGGGTGGCGCACCACCTCCACCAATGCACCGGTCAAACACAGCGGACCACCACGATCTGTGAGGGAATGGCGTACGATCAAGTCCGCATGTTCGACACGAACAAGGCATCGTATTCGCTTGTTTTGCCGTGAGAGCAATGAGAGTGGAGCACAGACGCCCACAACCAACTAGGCCGGCGACCACTCAACCATCAAGGCGGGTACCCAGTCTATCGCACTGACGGCCATGTTTCGTTCACACAAATCGTACAAGATTTGGGCGATGGGTGCGAAAGTTAACAATTCAACACAACAGAGGGAGGGGAAAGAATTCAGTCACGCCAGCGATTGTCACGAGACGGCGCAACAGCACACCTGGGAGATAGGTCAAGAACACTCGGCATCGCTGTGCTAAGTCAATTGTGAGTCGAAAACAAAGAGCACCAACAGCACCGGTTGAACCCAAGCTCGCCACATCACCGTATTGTACGGAGTGGTTTCTCCAAACGGTGGCGAACGTGAAATACCACAAGTATTTTCGCTCGTGGCAACACTCGAAAGTAGATTGAAACGATTAAAGCACGCGACCTCGCCACTGTCACCAATCAGCAGCTAACACTTCACTGTCCTCAAAATGCGCGACAGAAGGTGTGTTGGGTACGAGACGCGCCGGTGGTACGAGGATGATGGTTTGGTTAGAAGCTTCGTGATATCAATCCTGGGCTGGCAAGAGAGATTGGCCATATGATTGCGGGAATGACGACTTGTCGAACGAAAGCTAGGTCACAACATAGACCACGTCCTGTCAGCAAAGTGTGGGAATACCTCAAAACGGTTGCCCTCAAATGACGCTCCGTCCAGCGGGTCTACCGTATGTGTCGTGATTGAAGCTGGGCATACCTCAATTTTCCAGCTTGGCGAACAGCGCGCGTCAACACACTCTAACATTGTCAAGGACTAATGAACCCAACGGCATTTTGCCGAAAGCGCCGTCGACGGAGTGACAGAGGCCGTCAAAAAGCAATCCAATCAAAGCGGAAGGATCTTTACAGGATACCTTGAGGAGCAGAACTTTCTATACATAAGCATGTGAAGCCTTTCCAACCCCGGCACCACTCGCGCCAAGGTACATTGGTGGTTTGAAGGGACCGACACGCGCGTGCAAGGAATGTGTAACGTGGCACATGACGCACCTTTGAAACCACCGCGCATTCCACCCACGCCTCCCTGGTGTCGCTAAACTTGATCCAGAACACTGCGAGTTGAGCAGGGCGACAGTGTAAGGGTGCAGTAGACCGGAGAAGGCGCATGCGACCAAGCGCAGTGGTTTCTTTCGAGATCTTAATACCAAAAACACGATGTCATGCAATAAGCAACACCACCAATTACTAGCCTCACAACCTACACGCACCTGTCCCTTCCTTTATCGATGCCACGGCCTCTGTCCCTTTCTTGGTGTTGGCCAGGTACTCCTCCACCGAGTGAGCAGGGCCAGGAGACTCGGACTGCCCCCTGCGCGGCTTTGACCGGGGCGGTGGAGGGGCGGAAAAGTCTCGCCGTTTGCTCTTCTTCTTTCCGCCACCACCTCTACCCTTAGCTGTGACTGAAGAACTAGCGTTGGCAGCAGAAGCAGGGGTTGGCCCCATTGAGATCTTCTTCCCGCCCCCTGGTCCTCTTCGAAGGCCTGCGTCGACGTTGGCGCTGGCTTGAGAGTTTGCGCCAGTGGCGGCCTCTGCAACTTGATCACCCCCGGCAAGCGAGGAGGAGCTCACGCTGGATAAAGGAGTGGCGTCAGCACCTTGACTGTCGGTGGTTGCAGCAGTTTGAGTCTCGCTGCCAGAAGGGACACCATCGGTTCCGCCCGCCGCCGCCATTCGTGCACCAATCTCCACACGCTCTAGAGGCGGCAGCATTTCTTGAGACGAAGCAGCTGTCACCACACCTGCGTCAGCAGCCTTCGCGGCGGCGTTGGGAGTATCGGTCCCAGACGCGACGGCCTTCACCCCCGATGCTGTCGTCGTCTTCGCTCTTTTCTTGGCAGGCTCACAAGATGAGGGCGATTCTTCAGGGGGGGTAGCAGCCGCCACGGCCACCGCCATGCCAGGAGGAGTAGGGACGGGACCTTGTGTCTCGTTGCCGGGGGTGCTGTTCTTCGTCACTGGAGCCCCCGCGGTTGCCTTCGCACGTTTCGTTTTGGGCTTCAAAGGGTGCAAGATATCCGTAGACGAAGCATTTGTCCCCGCGTCCACCGCACCTGGTTGGGTCCGTCCGCCGGAAGAGCTGCTCGCGACCGCCTCTACCGCAGCCGTCGTCTCCACAATTTCTTGCGTCGATTCTGAAACCCTCGGACTTTCTCCAGATGAAGCAGTGGCTGCATAAGTCGGCGTCGATACTGCTGTGGATGCGCCCGTGGCTTTCACATTCGTCGCCGTGCGGGGAGCGATGGTGTCAACCCCTCCCGCCGACGTCGTCGTCTTCGCTCTTGCTTTTGGGGGCTTTGAAGAAGAAGGCGCTTCTGCGGAGAAAGCCTCGGAGGACCCGGCAGCCGTACCAGATATGGCATCATTATCTTGAGTCTCGTCGCCAGGAGCGGTGCGCTCGCCCACCTCCGCCGTGGTAGCCTTGTTCGTGCTTGCTTTTGCAGGTTCCGGCTCCGACGAAGAAGATGGCGATCCAGTGGAGAAAACGGTGGCCGAAGATGTGCCTGTAGCAGCAGATGTGCCTGTGGCATCAGCATGTGTTTTACCACCTGGAGCGACGCACTCGTCGCCTCCCGCCACCGTCGCCGCCACCGTCGCCGTCTGCGTAGACGTCGTCGAAGGTTTTGACGAAGAAGGCTTTCCTGCAGGAGAAACAGTGGCCGACCCGGCGGCCAAAGCGGACGTGCCGGTGCCATTTGTATTGGTGTCGGGGTGAAGACCGATGCGTTTGCTCCCTTCCGCAGCCGCAGTCGTCTTGGAACACTTCTCTGCAGGCTCTGACGGACGAATTTCTGCAGAAAAAACTGTGGCCGACGCCGCAGACGAACCAGTAGACACGGCGTAAGCACTTTGAATGTCGCCGTCGGAAGCGATACGCTCGGCCAAACCTGCCGCCGACGTCGATGTTGCAGTTGTCTTCGCTGGCTCCGGAGGAGACGGCACTCCTTCCGGCAATGCCATGGCCGCCGCTTCGGCCGCACCAGCAGACGTGGCATCCGCATCGTGAGCCTGACTGCCAGCAGCAATGCACGCACCCCCTCCCACCGGCGCGGTCGTGTGGTCGACGTGCTTGGCGGGCTCTGCAGGAGATGGTTTTACCTCACACAAATCTGTGGCATGTACCGCGGGCACAGCAGGAGACACGGGGTCAGCACGCGGAAGGTTGTCGGCAGGAGCAACACTCTCGGTCAATCCCGTCGCCGACGTCGACGCTGCCATTCTCTTCGCCGGCTCTGGGGGAGACGGCCCTCCTTTCGATAGTGCCGTGGCCTCCGCTTCCGTCGTGCTGAGAGGCGTGGCGCTAGCATCGTGAGCCTGACTGTCAGCAGCAATGAACTCGCCCCCTCTCACAGGTCCCGTCGTCTGGTCGACATGCTCGGCAGGCTCTGCACGAGATGATGTTGTCTCCCGCAGAGCAGTGGCCATCACCGAAACCGTACCAGGAGACATGGTGTCAGCATGTTCAGTCCCGCCAGCAGGAGCGATACTCACGGTCAACCCCGTCGTCGTCGTCGACTCTGCAACTCTCTCGGTAGGTTCTGAGGGAGACTGCGGTTCTTCCGATGGGGCCTCGGCTGCCACTCCCGCCGTATCAAGAGACGTCGTGCCAGCACCACCCTGACTGCCAGCACCTGTCCTCTTGCTCCGGTCAATGGGCGTCACTATCTTGTCAACGTGATTTACAGTCGCTGAAGATGCGTTCTCACGCGGAGCAGTTGCCGGCACTGCGGCCGTACCAAAAGACATGGAGCCAGCACTCTGACTCTCGGCGCCAGGTGCGATGCTCTCAGTCAACCCCCGCTCTAGTGTCGACTCTGCACTTCTTTCGGCGGGTTCTGAGGGAGACCGCGATTCTTCCGATGGAGCCGTCCCCGCTGCTCTCACCGTAGCAAGAGACGTGGCGACAGCAGCTTGAGTCTGATTGCCAGCAGCCATGATCTCGGCCCCGCCCGCCGCCACCGTAAACTTAATACTGTTTAGAGCGGGCTCTGCCGAAGAAAGCGATCCTGCGGGCAAAACCGTGGTCGGCGCTACAGCCTTACTAGGAGAGATTGGATTGACACTTTCAGTCTCGCCGCCAGATGCGCTGTTCGCCGTCAATCCCACCGCCAGTGGCCAATCTAATCTTATCTCCCCAGGTTCTAATGGAGACTCCGCTTCTTCCGACAGAGCCGTTGTCGCCGCTTCCGTCATGCCAAGAGAGACGGCGCCAACAGCCTGAGTCTGACTGCGAGCAGCGACGGTCTCGGCCCCTCCCGCCGGCGTCATGGGGTCGCCGGTGCGTGTTGCAGGTTCTGAAGGGGATGCTGTTTTCTCTACCAAAACCGTGGCCGCAGCTGGGGTCGCAAGTGACGTGGCGCTGTTTACACCATCATGTGGAGACGGCGGTTGAACCAGGTCGCGAGTTGGGGGGTCGTGCACCGTCGGTGAAGCCACAGAAACTGTTGACGTCGGTGGTACCCTCGTCTCCGAGGCGGCTACAACGGTCAAGGGAGCATTTTCTCCTGATAAGCTCACACTCACGGGGCAAGCACCTTGAGCCGCTAGCAACGCTGGTGCTACTCCTTGTTTCGTAGGTGCAGCTTCAGCGGCTGCTATTCTTGGCGGTTTCGTGTCCGCAACTGGCGAGGTCGAACAGGCCTGTGAAGAACCTTGAGCCGCCGGCTGGGTCGGGAGAGTATTGCCTGTTGCTTCCGTCTTCGCTGTTTCTAAAGACGACGGCATTAGCACCGGTGAGGTCGGACATGCCAGCGGACAAGTGTAAGTAACTGCCGAAGCTGGAGCAATGCCTGCTGCCGCGGCTGTTTTCGGTTCTTCCGATGCCATGCCCACATCCGAAGATGGACCCGCGGGGAAAGCGGCTTCCGCTGCTGGAGTGCCCGCGCTTGGATCTGCCTCAGCCGCTGGTGCTCCTGCGGTAACGTCCAAAACGGTGGAATTCCCACCCTGCACAGAAACGCCTTGCACCACGTGTGGGGCTTGGGGTCCAACGCTTGTTGCTGGTGGTGCTGTTAACCCTTCTCTACCCGAGGCCTTCCTTGGCATACCTGAGCTTTCATCTGACGCGAGCATACCGTGAGACCACAGCAGAGCAGGGGTTGTGACGTTTCGCGCTGCCTCTGATTCCGCCGATGCCGCTGTTGACGAAGGTGGCGCCGTCTCTACAACTGGCGTTGCCGTCGCTGGCGGGGGACGACCATGAGAAACATGCAAGGGTGCCGCCGATGATGTGCTCCCTGCTGCTGCCCCTGCTGAAGCCTTTTCAAGCGTTGCGGAAGCCGGCGCCAGAGAAGAACTACTCTGAGTGATGGGCGCGGCCGTCACGTCAACCGTCGGCGGTGCCGTCCCGGTCGCTGCCGTTGTTGCCACTGCCGCGCTTGAGTCTAGAAGTGCTGACCCCAGATCTCCGACGGGAGCGTGCGCCGATGGGAGACCGGTAGGTTGCACGTCTGTTGCTCTTGGTAACGCTGGCCCTCCTCCAGCTGAAGCATGGACTCCATCTTTCGAAAGCAGAACTACCGGTTGGGGGTCTTGCGCCAGCATCGGGGTTGGCGGCTTAACTCCCAGCGCTGCCGCTGGTACAGCAATACCTGCTCGTGCTACCGAGTCACCACCGGCTGTCCCCGGATCCGGCCGGGAAGGGCTCAGCATGTGGAGGACTGCGGGGTCACCGCTCGGTGCGCCCAGCACAGGTGCTGAGGCGGTGTTTACAGACGCTGGAGTCAGACCAAGGGTAGGAAAAACTTGCGTCACTGTTGGGTCGGTAGAGGGGGTTTTTGGGCTCGTCGCTGCCGCAGCGGCCACAGACGTCCCCACCGTTTTCGCAGATGCCGCCGCTAGCGATATTGCTCCTGTCTGTGCCGGCCGCTCTCTGACGTTCTTCGATCTGTCGAGCGATCGTAACGAACATGGGATAACAAGAAGCGAGCGGCAGACCTTGGAAGGTTAAGAAATAATATGAATCCACAATGACAAAAGCCGGGGCAGTTCAAGGGACCCCAACATGATAGCGAGGAAAGTTCCTTGCGCGTTGTGGACGTATAACATATCGATGACTTGGTACACCTAACACACCCAGAGGGTCAACCAAGCCCCAGCGTACACCGTTTTGGACATACGCTGGACGGGCGCCAAGAAAACTCACGATTTCCGCTTGTGGGATTGTGTTAGCTCTCCGCTTGCGGGAGCGGAAGCGTCTTCAAGCTTTCGCTTAGGCACCGCCACTCTGGGCGAGCCACTCGGCTTGGGTTTTTCTCCTTGGTGTGCAGCTGCCACCGGGTCAGGTGCTGATGCGGATGCTGCTGTCCCACCGATCGGATGGACTGTGGCCACCGACTCCGGTCTCCCTCCTCCGGCGTTCGTGGTTGTGCTTTCCGCTGCTATCGTCAAATGTTTCATATACAAGAGTTGTTGACGGAAGAAGAATAAATCATCGCAGTTAGACCTCGAGATAACAAATTGTTTTGGTCAAAAAGGTGTCCGTGGTCGGTAGCCCATCAGACTAGAGCCAGTTCAAACTAACCGATCAACGCTCTCTAAAACAGGTGGCTACGTCACCAAAACGCGGAAAAAACACGACTCCACCTGTAAACTTTTTTTCAACGACACCAAAGCGTACAACGTGCACTGCACACAACACACACAGCCAGACCACCAGGAAAGGTCATGTGCCAACTAGTATAGCCCATCAGCTGGAGCAGCAGCGCAAGCATATGCATGTATTCACAGCAGCAGCAAAGTCGAAATATATGCGTAAAAACACGAAAAAAAATCTTACCATCAGAGGGTTCCAGGCGCTGTTTCTATGCGTTCTGCCGTTGCCCACAAGCTGCCACACGCGATTCTGAGCAAAAGCGCCGCTAAACCTGCCCAGTGATTCTCGGAAACTATCAACTTTGCTCGTCCTCGATAAATTGGTCCCGATATGTACGTTAGCATGTTTTCGGAAAATCTTGAAGTTGGAGCCTGGCGCCAGTTCGTCAGCCAAACCAGACCCAAACCTCTTGCTTCCACCAAAACACGCTCACGCACATATCGGGACCAATTCATCGAGGAGGAGCAAAGTCGATAGCTTCCGATAATCAGTGTGTGCAAGGCTAGCGGCGCGTGTGCTCAGGATCGCCCGTGGCAGCTTGTGGACGGCGCGAGAAGGGTGAAACTAAGCTTGAATATGCCGTGTGAAATCGGCACGCTTTTTTTTTATTTTCAACATGTGTCATGCGCCCCCATTACGAAGCAACGAATGTCGACACCGCTTGGCCGCGGCTGCCGTTTTCAGGTGTCTGAGCGTGCATAGTCGATGCCCTCGACAGCCTTCGTGTGCATGTCCAATCGTGTCTCCGGTGCGCTCCCAAAAGGCGCCTTCAACCAACGAAATCTTGAAAAAAACATGCTCTCTTTCATTTTCGGCCATGATTTTTTTGTGATCATCTCCACAAAATTATGCCCATGATAGGCCAAACGGGGGGACGCGCCTTTCAACAGCAACATGTTGGAATGGGATGCGGTTTTTTGTGCTGTGTGCGCAGAAACCATAGGTAGCCGTCACCAGGAACAGATTTTTGAGTTCATGGGAGAAAAAATGAGCACCGGACAAAGACCCACAAAAAACACTCTAACAAAAAACGCATGTTTTCGGTCTTTGAGAGGACGCAAGAAACGTGTGGTCCTGGTGATCCCTCGAGAATGGTCTGTAGGCAGGTGAGTCAACTCTCCGCCTGGCGCCAGAACTTAGTTCCCCCGTTTTCTGGTCTACAGCAAAGTAAATTAAAATTTCTCCACCGAGCCATTCAAACAGGTTTTTGCGCTGGTCGTTGTACGGTATTTGTTGGTCACTAGCGGTGTAATCTCGAGGTCTAACAGTAATACAGGGTAATGACTACGATATTGATTTCGACCGACATTCCGATAGAGCACTCATCGATCACACACGAGACACATACGACAGGCTAGGAAGCGCCCCGCAGAAGAAAATACTCCAGTTGTAGCACAGAGCAGTGGCTGGGGCATGTCTTTGGCAGCAAATTACGCAGTCTACCTCCCTGCACCTTCTCCACACTCAAGCCAGAAAATTCCACCTGTCAATTCCAACACAACACAGGCGACACGGTGGGTGCTTTCAGCAAGTTCTTTGCATCAGAGAGTGGATGTCCCATGGGAAATCAGCAGAGGACTCCACGGAGAAGTCAACTTTTCGTTGGCACGCCCATGTTTGTCGCTGGGGCCGTACTGTCGAAGGATACAGTCGAATCCCGAAATGCCGGTAAATCTGTGCCAACCTCGGGATCTATACCATTCACAATCCAAGCTGTACGTGCTGTCACAGACCCAGTCCCTCAAACTGGCCGCCATTCCAGGCGGTCGGTGGCGGCAGCTACTGCTGTGTACCCGCAGTTCAGGAGGTTTGGGCCTGTGACGGTGAGCACAGCAGTGGATAGTGGTAGGACCCAGGTTCTTGCATATTCGGGCAGCAGCAGCTGCCGTCTACAGCACGCCGCGGGCAACAGATCTGGGCGTGCCGACGCGCCGGTCGCTGTTCCATGGTGTCCTCTACTGAGTTCCCATATCGAATATCCACACTCTCTGAGTTGCACGATCATTTTCCATTCTATGGGCTTAAAATATTCCACAGTAATGGATTTGGTCTATAAACTAATTGCCGGGGTTGTCCTGATTTCCTTGAGCAGTATCACTCCCCCACAAATTGAAAACATGTCGTTGGGGCCTTGTACTCACACGAGAAGGAATGCCCAGCTGGAGTTGGGGAACAGCCTTCATGCAAGTTGTTTTTGATCTGACATGGCTCCCTTCGCGGTAGATATACTCATGATGACGGTGGCGCGGCAAGCGCTAACAAAAAATAAGTATTATCTTCTTCAAAGTGTAGATACATGTAGATGAACGCCCGACCTTCTCCTGATCCTTCAATGAACACAATGTAACACAGCAGTGATGAGTGCATTTTTCACCTACTACCTCTGCAATCTATATTGAACTTTGCCTTGGAATCGCTCAATTTGGGCGGTGGCGCGAAAGCACCAAGAGCCTTGCACTCCTACGAATTATGTGCGTGTTCGCGGCGGAGTCCAAAACAGTTTCAACGGCAGAGCAGGGGAGAGGGCCTATCTCCTCAACACGACGCAGGGAATACGGCGCCGACGCTTGGCAGTGATAAGTGGGAATGCACCCACCAGGGGGAGGTGACGATGGCATTCTTGCCGAAGACGACAACGCAACGGGTTTGCAAGATGTGCCGCACTCAGCCACATCACAGCGCGGGGTCGGCTACAATCAAGCGCGAAACGTAAGTCACGGCGCGGGATCGGCTACATCAGACTCGAACATAGATTCGGATGCCCGTAGCCTTGGGTGGGGTCCGTAGTGTCGTGATTGTAACTACTTGAATTACTCAGCTCGATCTGCCAGGTTTTCTATTTGATTGCCTGCCTGTATCTCGAGAAAAAACTTAACCCTCACTTCCAATAGATACTTTGACAGGAAGGCCAAAAAAGAATGTTAGACAAGCGAAGTACGCAACCACAATACAACACGTTGGTCTGCTCTTGTTGCTATGGAATTTTCTGTGATCACACAGATTAGGCTACTCCCCTACAGAATGGCGACTTAGGTGGTACGATGAAGAAAAAACGTCAGGGGTCGAGATCCAGGACGCGTCAAAAGCTCTCGGATAAACGAGAACTGGTTCTGTGCAGATATAAGGGCGACCAGGGCAATAGCACGCCCATTTAGGCGGGGGTAGCCGCGCATAACCGGCGTACTGCGTGAGAGGGCACATTTCCAACTCAGGCCCCGCCTGCTGCTGTTGAAGGCATATCCTGGACCGACTGAATTTTTGCATATATTTCGCTCCTCCAAACACGGCCCTTTGACAATGCATCTCGATTCAAATAGCTGCAGCCCTTCGAGCACGAAATATGAAATATAGCACAGGCAGGACTGGACTTATCGAAAAGGCACATACTGACCTGGTTACAGGACGAGGCTGTTTGATAATAATCCTCCGAGTACATGACGATATTGCACTGTCAGCCACGCGGAGAGGATTCTTTCTACGCTTCCGCTTACACAGAAAAAGAGCCGGAGGCTTGTCGTCAATATCGCCACAGAAAAGTACCCGAAAATTGGAAAACATTGCACCTGCCGGAGCATAGAGTACGTGTCTACTCGATTACGTGGATTCCTCCCCGTTTTCAGCTGTAACCGTAAACGTATTCGGAGTCAAGGGGCAGACCCGTTGTATAAACACATTTTCTCGAACTGGCATAAATCTACTGACTGTTACGACCGGTCGCCCCGGTGGTCTAGTGCTTGACCTAGTGCAAAATAGACCTAGAATACCAAACGAAGGCAACCCCCGAGAGAGGAAAGAAGAGGCCAATAAAAAAAAAGGCTCCGGTGTGACTTTCCGGCTGTGCAACCACGCTGAAAAGTCAAACATAGCCAGAATAGATGGAACGACTACACTGCACGATGGCCTAGAGCAAGGTGGCCGGGATATACAAGAGCAGCATCTCGGCCGAGGCACAAAGGGGGGAAAGTGAGCGTCAGCATACTGGCGACCTTCTGAGGTAGCCTGCGAGAGCCACAAGAACCCTTGTTCGGTACAGAAGTAATAATGAGCCGCGGAGCGTGGAGCGCGAAGCATGACGTTTTTCCTCTTCGTCCCTAAATTAGGAGGGAAAACTCGGCTGGAAATATCGGGCTCTTCCAACCAACGCGATGGAGGGGACATTCTGCAATTTCCGCCTGATTATGGCCCGTAAAAAAATAATCGCCTATATTCGACCAGAGCGAGGTCTAAAGAGCACCGACTTACGATCTGCTGGCTTGTGAGGAGGAAGTTAATCAGGGTACTTTTCGTCGCACCGGTTCTGGTCGGGCTCCGACAACAGATGGCCGTGCTTGACAGGCATTTGTCCCCAAAATCTAGGATACTTCGACCCCTTTCCCGCGGGAGTTGTAGAGGTAAGCCAGGAACAAAAAAAGCGGGGATCTCCTACCCACACGGACAGAGCAGTTGCTCGGTTCAATCCAGGAGAAACAGAGGAAGCAGTCAGCTAAACACGCAACACCGCTCGGAGGGGCAAGGCAGCACTGGGGAGGGAGCCACACATACAGCGTGTGGCGGGTGTGTCACATTGTCATTGGAGGGATCATCGGTGAAACCCAAACCTGCGCCCGAGGCAAAAAATATGATCCCAGCAGACGGGTTTATGTCTCTTCAGGTTAGGCCGCTGTGCTAGACTCTCGCGCCCGCAATTTCTGAGCGTCCTACAGCTTCCTGGTCGGTGACAATCACCCCACGAGGCGGACCATGGACAGAGACGTCGCGGATACTTTTATTATTGCTGTATGGGGAGAGGTCACCTAGAAACAAACTGTACCACGGGAAAAACAATGTCCAAGACCCCATTTTTCTTGTGCCAGGCGCCAGGATGTCATTGTCGCGTGCATGCACTGCCGAATAATTAACATAGACGGGAGTCGTTGCCATTACTGCACCAGCAGCAGCACCACAAGCGCATTCGTGTAAGCTACCACTGTTCACTGGTGTCTGCGTCAGTACTATTAGGTGCCGATCGTTTGGCGGTACTTCTGTAGCAGAGGCGAGCATGTGTGTGTGTTGCTCCGCCGTTGAAATATAATATGTTAACTTCTAGCGGGAGCGGGTGCATAAGTCTTGGAAGATCCGTTCGAAGATAATTCCTCGAGTATATAAGTTGGGTTGTTGCGGCGCTGTCTAGAAGCAGCGTGTCTCGCACCTTGCACGGAATCGCAGATAGACTACATGAAGTAATTTTTTTTTTTTTTTATGCAGACATACAAATCCTGGAATCACATCCTGGGGCAGTCTTTCTGCGAGGGACTTCCGGATATTCTGCTACCACTCTCGCTGTAGTGCCGATCCCAAATCGTGCACATCCTCTGTGCGTTGCCCACATGTAAAGACGCACACACACCAATTTTGTCGTTTGACAGCGTTAGGTATTCGGCCATGGCTTGGATTTTATCATGTTTTCGGAGGTAGACGCATGATCGTTCTGAGGCCTCTCTGCTGACCATTATTGACTAGTTTAGAGTAGAACTTCGGCCAACATTCGCAGGCTAACTGCGGTCGCTGCGGTGGAGATCCCAAATCGTCAACATCATGCATTCGTTCTATGGTCCGTTGTCTATACCAAGGCCGAATCGGGGGACCGCAGTGTCCCGCCCACCCTAGGTGAAAGTTGGCTTCACAAGAGCTGAAAAGGTTGGAAGGTTGCGCGCAGCAGCAGAAGGCTGGTTCTACTCAGATATGATCGTGGGGCATTTCTCGCGTCCAAAGCAAAATTAACGGGTAAAATCAGCTTTCCGGTGGAGGGCATGACCTGCTTGAGGCGCCCGTGTGCTTTGGTGGCACGCCGAGGTGTGTGTGGCGAGCACGAGGTGGTGAAAGAACTGGGCTCAGGCATGTCCAATTTGGGGAGGGGATGAAACCAAATAGACCCGCCGAAACAGGCGGCGTGATTTTTTGTCTGTACCTTTCTTCAATTTTCTAGATATCTAGGCGGCAACACGTGTGATCCATTGCCAATGTATCCTGGAGTGTCATCTACGGATGAGGCAAGAAGTGTTGTGTCTGCTGTCTGCTGTGTACCCCGGTACTGGTTTACAGCAGGTCTTCTACCAGTACTTGTACAAGCAGTACACTGCTCTGTGTTGAGAAAAGAGAGGTATCTACCGCCGTAGAGACACGCCGCAATAAAACTAGAGTTCCCTTGCGGCACGCTGCCAGTGGGTGTTTGAAGTTTTGTCGTGAAGGGGCAAAACAGCATCATGTACAGATTAATGCTGCGCACACTTTAGGGACTATCGAAGGTGGGAAGATCCCTGGCTACTACTTCTCCTGCTGCTGCTCCTGCTGCTGCTCCTAACACTGTACATGACGTGTGCACGTGTGCACCTCTTTTTGTGGGTTCGGCGAAAGGGCAACAATCACCACACCAAACAAATTCGCGCTTATTCCGTCGATACCAAGAGACACATGTACTGCGAGGGAACCCTAAGGCTCTCACCTATTGGTAGCGGCTGCTGTTCCATTCGCTGAAGCAGCTGCAGCTTCTGCTTCGCCAGCTTGCGCTCCCTCCGCCGCAGCTGTTTCAGCATCTCCTTTTGCACAGCCCAAAGGTTGTGTTTCAAAAACACGTCCTCCCCGGAGTATCCACGGTAGGTGCCCTTTCCCGCGATGGCGGCCTCCACGGCTGAGGAGTTGATCAAAACCTTGGTGACCTGCTTCGACACATCATCGATCTCTAGCTGGAGCTGCTGGAGCTGGGCATCGGACGTCATGGTACGTCGACTGCTGTTGTGCCGGCGGCAGGGTGTGGTATTTTTTTTTTTGTCTTTGTTTTTTCAAGTTTTTGCTGTAATGGCGGGGGATTACAAGCTGCATCCCCGGGTTTCGATCAAATCGCGCTGTTATATACATAACCCTGCCTGACACTGGTGTGCGTTTGGTTCGTGTCTCAACCATGCTGGGGAATCATCATGGAGTACTTCGACCGGGGTACGATTATCGTCGTGGCAGTCTAGACTAATAACGATGCAGCATGTCTATAGTGTGTTGTTTACATATATTGTTTCAACAAATAGATTACAGGCCAATAATTTGTGGCTGCATCTTTGTTGGCTAGTCCGGTGGAGTGCACCCACGGTACCAACAATCACAATCAACTTTTCGGTTAGGTGTGGAGAGAGCTTGGCCAGTGAACCCCGGCGGCGGCGAATTATGCGAGAGTAAACCCTCAGCCTAGCAAGTACATGGTGGGTGAGGAAGAAGGTACATGATGCAAGATCCACCCACAGGCGACTTGATTCGTGGTACGTTGATGTAATTTCTCTCCGTTTCTCTCCGTTTGTATGGATGGACCGGTCCTCCTCCTGTTTCCTCTGTTGTGTGTTTCTTTTTCCAGGGGTTGGATCGCCGCCCGGTTTTGATTTTCTTTTTGTTTCTAATTTTATTCCCCTTTTTGGCGTAGCCTGTGAAGGACCGCCCGCGTCAGCTGGAAAAAACGCACTATCATAATTGTAGCAGAGACCTGAGAGACTTACTTATTTATTTTGTTTTCTTTCGAATTGCTTCATTATTTCTTCGGTTTCTAGGCTACGTGTTGGGGAGAGCGACGCACGAAACGCTCATCGTCTCTCCGGCCGCGTTAGCTGCAAAGGCCGGCGTCAACTCTTACAAATCCATCTCTCTCCCCACAAATACTAGCCGGGGGACTACGACTGCAAACACAGGAGTCCCAAAACTGACCAAGTCCTCAAATGGTACACACCATTCTACAACACCTGACTAGATACCGAATATTCCCGAACTTATGCCCCCACCTTCGAAAGAAAAGGGATGGGAGGGCGGGATTTTCTAAACTGCCGCCGCTACTGCGTTAGGCGGCTGCTGCTGTCCTTCCGTTGCTTCACGCGCTCTGTAGCTGTCACACGTTACCCGACTTTGCTACAGCCCCTGCGTGGACTCGATCACGGAATGACACCCCCAACTATAGACTAATAATTCCAAACACCGTGACCCTGGGTTTCCGGTAGAAAATGAAGCCAAATTCTAATTCGACTCTTACAAAATAAACACCAGTTTATTCTATCTGCTTCGACGAACAAACCTCCCTTTTATTTTGTTTTCTTTCGAATTGCTTCATTATTTCTTCGGTTTCTAGGCTACGTGTTGGGGAGAGAGACGCACGAAACGCTCATCGTCTCTCCGGCCGCGTTAGCTGCAAAGGCCGGCGTCAACTCTTACAAATCCATCTCTCTCCCCACAAATACTAGCCGGGGGACTACGACTGCAAACGCAGGAGTCCCAAAACTGACCAAGTCCTCAAATGGTACACACCATTCTACAACACCCACATCGAGGTCAGTTTCTGGACGACCACCGAATAAGTCAACTATCCGTTCCCCCAGACGTCCCCTCCCCCGGCTGTCTCGATACGATCCTACTGCCGTCTGTAAGTTTCCGTGACACTCGCCGCGAATCCTCTACATTGTTTCGCGCGTACGGCTTGTATGCATCCGACCTCCACTTCCCTTCTCTCTGAATCACTCGTTCTGCGATGTCCCCGCCCGATGCAAGAGCCGTCGCGCCTCCAATTCGCAACGAGTGCAACGCGTACTCCTGGGGGTTACGCCCCGACTTCGCTACCACTTCTCTGACTGCACGGAGGGCAGCAGTATACCTCACTACTCTCACTGCTCTTCCACTACGGTACGAAGCCAACGGTGCGGAGTCAGGCAACGTCGCATGACACGATAACAGCTCCACCACAAGAGCCACCGCGCCGCCGCGTGCTCTCACACCTGACTGCGGTCCGGTGACTTCGTCTCGCGTACGAACCCGTATGTTTCCTTTCTGCTCTTGATCGGCCTTGTGCCCTCTAAACCTCATTTCGACACGGTCTGCTCTACGATAGTGACTAAAGACTAATTGCGTCTCGCCAGCAAACAATGCTACGTCCGCCCTCGTAAGACAGTGTGCCTCATGCACCCTGCCCGCATCATTCGCGAACACCTCATCAGACCGTGTGATAAAGAGATAGGACAAGCACAGACACAGCCACATCACTCTGCCCCCTTCCCCCCAGTTCTGGCTTGCGCTTTCCCCGTCCAGCAGCATACGCCAAGACACAGGCAGGCGCACACGGCGTATCGTCCCCACAGCCACGTGGTTCCTCGCAATCCCCCTTAGCGCACATTTCAACATCGGAGACGACAAGTCTAGCTCGACAGAAGCTTCCAGCCTATGAAAATGTTGTACAGCCGTGAGTTTTCCGGATATTGTACTCGCTAGATTACCCTCAGACTCGAAACACCAGGCTACGAAGTCTATCAACTCCCACACATGAAGGTCCCCGGCACGTTGCCCTAGGAACTTGGGCTTCTCCGTCAGCCTGCGAAACGTGCACCAAGAGTTGAAGCCTGACGTGTAAGTCCTTCTAGACGAAGACGCAACTGAGTGCTCGACGAGCTGCATGCCAAGACGTCGGTAACAAAGTCCCGTCCTGCCTGTCCCGGGTCCTGAACCTGCTGATAGCCCTGGAGCCAACCTCGTGTAGACCGGCGTGCTGCCGTTCGATTTAGCCGCAGGTGCGCTGCCATCCGAGGTAGGCCCCCCCGCTACGCGGGAGAGCCCGCACCCCTATTTGTCTTTCCCGTGGGTGAAGAAGCCAGCGGCCTTGGGTCTCGCGCCGCCCTCGCCAGCGGCGCGCGCCTCTCCTCCGCGCCCTCCCCCGTTGCCGTGGCCAACGCCGCGCGCGCCGGTTGCCGGAGTTTCGGACGCTCCGCGCCTAGCGTGGGAAGGGTTCTGGGCGTGGATGTGTGGGCAGTTACGATCATGGCAACCGGACGACGAGTTGAAGGCGAAGCAGTAACCACGAGCGTGTCGAGCGATGCCGCCACTTTTTCTGTCACCAGGACGCCTTTGCGAAGCAAGGATTGCCACTCCATCTGCGACAGTTTTGAAACTGCCGGAGGCCACCCCAGGATGAGCCACGCTTTTACCCGGCGGAGGTCCCCCCATATCCGCGCTCTATCCTTTGCCGTAGCCTTAGCCGCCTCGGCGCTGGGTGTAGCGGGGGCCCGAGAGGCCGATGGTGGGGCGGTTGTGCCCACCAGTTGCACCCCCCCCCGGAAGGCCAGGTCCTGCTGCTTGGGTGGCGATCAGGTCGTCGATCGTTGCTTGAAGCTGCTGGCGATCGCCGGCAGCCTCATCGCGCTTCCGCTGCAGCTCCTCCCTCAGGCCGTCCACCAGCCCGCGGAGAGAAGCGAGCTCAGTCTCATCAGCGGGGGGGTCGCCGCGGGTGCCTGTCCCTGGCGCTCGCGAGGAGGATACCGCTCGACGCCTCGCGGGAGTACGTGATCCGCTGCGCGTCGAGGGGCGAGCCGTCGAGCTCGCCACCGATCGCGCGGTAGACCTCCTCGTGCGTGGTGTCGAAGGTGTCGCCGCCCGACCTCGCCCTGCTTGCCCACCCGCTGCCCTGCCGCTCCGCGTGGAGGCCCGTGTCGGCATCTGGTCGCGGTTGGAGTCGTATAAGCAGCGGACCGGCGGCAGGCGGCGGGCGAGCGTCAGGGCGGCGTTGCGGGAACACTTCTTTTCCTCTTCATCGTGGGCGTAGTCGATCGCGCGCCTGGATCTGCAGTTAGAATGGTCTACAAATCCTATCTTCGGGCGAAACTATCTGACGTGGGTTTTCGTCGGGCCCAGAACGACGCGTTGTTATATCGCGAGCTCGCGTTAGTTCGTTCTCGACGCCTGTGGATTGAACGGAGTGATTATTGCTGCTGACGCTACGGTCACCGGACGTCGACCAATCCCGAATATTTCTCTCTTTGGAACACTAGCGATGGTTTCTCTTTTTTTTTTTTTATACATATATTTTCTTGGATTCGGTGAACCCCGGTTCGCCATCGGCACGGGTGCTTCCACTCATTGGCGCGTCCCGTGCTGATACGTGTTTTTTTTTTTTTTTCGATGCGTTGGATACGGTGAACCCCACTTGCCAACAGCGCGGGTGCTTCCACTCATTGGCGCGTCCCTCGCTGAAACTGACAGCACATATGCAGCACGGGTGCTTCCACTCATTGGCGCGACCCGTACTGATACTTGTACGCAGCGCGGGTGCTTCCACTCATTGGCGCGTCCCTCGCTGAAACTGACAGCACATATGCAGCACGGGTGCTTCCACTCATTGGCGCGACCCGTACTGATACTTGTACGCAGCGCGGGTGCTTCCACTCATTGGCGCGTCCCTTGCTGAAACTGACAACACATATGAGCACGGGTGCTTCCACTCATTGGCGCGTCCCGTACTGATACGTGTATGACTTCGTTTTCGATGCGTGGAGATCGGTTAATTCTACTCGCCAACAGCACGGGTGCGTCCACTCATTGGCGCGTCCCGTACTGATACGTGTACGGCGTTTTTGTTCTTTCTTTTTGAGATCGGTTAACTCTACTCGCCAACAGCACTCATTGGCGCGTCCCTTGCTGAAACTGACAACACATATGCAGCACGGGTGCTTCCACTCATTGGCGCGTCCCGTACTGATACGTGTACGACTTCGTTTTCGATGCGTGGAGATCGGTTAATTCTACTCGCCAACAGCACGGGTGCGGCCACTCATTGGCGCGTCCCGTGCTGATACGTGTACGGCGTTTTGTTCTTTCTTTTTGAGATCGGTGAACTCTACTCGCCAACAGCACTCATTGGCGCGTCCCGTACTGATACGTGTACGACTTCGTTTTCGATGCGTTGAATTCGGTTAACTCTACTCGCCAACAGCACGGGTGCGTCCACTCATTGGCGCGTCCCGTGCTGATACGTGTACGGCGTTTTGTTCTTTCTTTTTGAGATCGGTTAACTCTACTCGCCAACAGCACGAGTGCTTCCACTCGTTGGCGCGTCCCGTGCTGAGGCTGACATCACATATGCAGCACGGGTGCTTCCACTCATTGGCGCGTCCCGTACTGATGCATGATTTGTGGTATTTCCTACCGCTGCGTTGAATTCGGTTAACTCTACTCGCCAACAGCGCGGGTGCTTCCACTCATTGGCGCGTCCCGTGCTGATACATGTACGGCGTTTTGTTCTTTCTTTTTGAGATCGGTTAACTCTACTCACCAACAGCACGAGTGCTTCCACTCATTGGCGCGTCCCGTGCTGAGGCTGACATCACATAATG